CCATGTGGCCCCCCAACATCCCCATCATCATCCCCGTCATCCATCACGCAGTCATTGTGCCCTCCAACATCACCATCATCATCACCGTCATCCATCACGCAGTCACTGTGCCCACCAACATCACCATCATCATCACCATCATCCATCATGCTGTCACTGTGTCCACCAACATCACCATCTCAGCTGCACGGCAGTTTGGGCAGCTGGTGTGTACCAGTTTACACCCACAACATAACGCGATGGCAGAAGGCTGCATGCCCAGTCCCATGACTTTATAGAGGCACAAATGGACTGCAAAGATCCCTAAATAAGAAACAAAGGACTCTTCCTAAGCAACCTGATGTGGGTATGCCTTCCTTAAGAGTTTGAGGGGAAAAAATGAGTATATTCTGGGTGAGGGAGTGAGGTACCATCAATATCCTCCCAGTCTTCTGGTTCCTACTGCCAGGGCAGATGCATGCCACCTGTAAAGCACTCAGACCTGTGGCACCTTACCTTTCAGGTGATCGGCCACCTTGGTATAAGACCGCAGCATTGCCAGGGACACTGCCTCCCCTGAAACACAGGAGAGACACAGCCCTGAGGAACATACAGGTGCCAGAGCAGCCCCACCTTGCTCTCTGACAAAGTCACGTTACGATTCTCTGCATCCTAAGGTGTTTCAAGCTCTGAAAGACTTGAAAGAAATAAGGGAAATGGGACTTTATGCTTCTGTGGAGCAGACAGCAACCAGGTTGTCTAGGCTGTCCCATGAGCCCCTGAGACCACAATTTCCCCTCTTGTCCTATATTCGGTCCCTGTAAAATGAAGGTTAAAAAATGAAGGTTAAATGAAAAAAATGAAGGTTAAAAACCTATGAACATTGGTATCTTCTATACTGAGAGATACTGTCTTCACACAGTATCAATCACTGAGAAGAACTGATTTAATCTCATTGCTAACAGTGGGTGGAGACCCATGGGGCAGGATGCGGCACTTAGTTATTGTTTAAACTTGCCTACAGGATCACCATATTACAGAAAGCGTGGTGAGAAGGGCAAGCTTAGAGAAGGGACAGCCAGGCCACATTTCATACTCACAGCTGGCATAAAACAGCACCACTGTCCGGGCAGTCTCCGAGAGGGCAGAGTGGAAAGTCTCCTCTGTCAGGACAAGGATCTGCTCCAGGGGCAGCTCTCGCTTCTTGTCCCTGGAAACCGCTTCCACCACCTGATCGTCCTGAATATCTGCAAGGGATCCACAGCCATGCATGAACACAGGTACGCAGACAGGGCAGGGGGAACCGCAGCCCCCGTGCCACCCCATCTGCATGTTTTTGTAAGCCAGCGCCTCCCAGCAGAGACACGGTGACCGTCAGCGGGGGTAAGTAACTGCCTCGCATGGGGGATGGAGGCACAGCCATACATACAAACTCACTGAAATGCACTTATGCCATCTCCCACCAGTTGTGCCCTCTGATTTGAACACTATTCTTTAAGCACGTTGGCTCCTCTAGGATCCTGCACCAGTTTTTTTTTTAAAACAAACCCCATTTTGTACGGAAAACAAATGCGTTTTCAAGGAAGCACTACAAGGGCTAGTCTTTTCTCCCTGGGGAAGGCAAGTCTGGAACAGCTCTCAGAAAAACATGTCTCAAACCGTTCCAAAGGGCCTGATAATTCTGAGACACTTCATCTGATGCTTGAAGAGACAGCGTTGGGTGCACTTTAAACTCTCGTGCCTCCGAAGCTGGATGCAATCAAGCAGAAGCATCCCTCTCCCTCTGCAACTGTTCCTCTAACAGGTGCTGCTTTTCTTCCCTGGTGTTTCCCCTAAAAATTATGCCTGTCTGTCACAAAACGCCAGTGGTCTGCAGAGAATGAAAGAGCCACTTTGTACAACCGTGACGTGACTGGGATGGTTTGCCTTGGATTTGCAAAAGGGTTCTCTAATGCTTTCACATATGCTTGCTGTCTCTAGCAGATGCTGAGTGCATGTCCTATCTGATGGCAATCAGCTTTTCGCTGTTTAGTTGCACACCTTGACTGTTATTCTCTTTTTCATCCTCATCTTCCTCATTCTCCTCCTCATCCTCCTGGATTCGTTTGACTTTGTTCTTGTCTTCCACCAGCTTTATAACTTCATCAGTGTCTTCCAAGACCAGGTATTTGATTGGCACTCCCTAAAGAAAACAGAATAAATCAGTGGGTGCAAAACATCATCCTCTGCCTATTCTGTCTGCAAACCAAACTCAAGGCTGACGGGGCACCATCACCCAACTCCTTATTTTTGGGATATGTCAACAGATTCCTAAAGCTGCCAAACAGGAGAGCTTCTGTGATGCGTTTCTTTGACACAATTTCACCTGCACTTGAGTTTTTCTCACTCCAGACCGACTTTTCCTTGCCAGGAAGAAACTGGGGCTATGTGGGATCCTGCGGTGAAAGTGAACACCCGCTCCACCTCCCAGCATCTTAACACAGATCCACCACTGCGAGAAAAAGCCCTGTGGCCCAACAGTGAAGGAGAGCGGGGAGGTATGGGGTCTACTCGGCTGTCCCCGCTCTGGAGGGGTGAGGCTGGGTCAGAGCAGGCCATCACAGCCTGGGAAACGAGCACAAAAAGTCCTTTATCTCATGGAGCTCAATGAAGAAGAGAGGTCCCAAGCGTACATGGGCTGTCAACCCATGGAAAGAAAAGAGTAAACTGTATTTCTCAGAAATGAGACCTTGTCGGCTTAAAACCAGTTCTGGCACTGTCTCAGTGAGAGGCACTTCAGAGAAAATGAATTTTATAATGAACTGAGAGAAATGACAAACCGCTGGCACCTCCCATTGGCTCTAAGAGGAGAAACACAACATGCACATCTCTCACCAGGGCAGGGGAAGCCCTCAGGGGACGCTCAGCTTCAGGTCTGATCCTGTATCTTCGCAATCACCAGTGTGACAGTTCAGGTAATCTGGGGCAATGTGTGCTCCCTGGCATCTGTCAGCTCTGCATTCCGTCTTGCCTCACAAGCTGGGTCAGGTCCCTCCAGAGTTTAGCTCATCTTGATCAACCTCATTTAACTTACACCCTGCCCTTTTCCCAGATCGCTGCCAGAGGCATTTGGTTACATCAGTTCAGCGCAGACCTTTGGTTGTTTGCTCTTAGCTTGCTCTTAGTTTCACACTCATCTCCTCTCCCATCTTTTGAACACCTTTCCTAAGGGGCCAAGGGCCTTTAGAAGTCCAAATATCTCGGGAATTTGCACCTGGACTACTACCTTAGGTAGTTCACAACCTTGCGTTGCATTAAGGTGTAATAGAGATGCCACCCTACGTTTTGAACCCAAAATAACCACTTTCTTTTGTCTCCTGTAAGCAGGCACAATTGCTCTGCAGTGCCAAACTCATGCAGCTCCAAATACATGCGTGCATCT